CCAGTCGATTCCCACGCCGAACAAGTTTTCGCATTGCGTAAAAAGAAAAAAAAATCAATACATTCGAAGTTTAAACGTAGCTGAAAAAAATTTAGCATTTCCGTATTTGCGCGAGATTATTTTTTTTTTCTCTATGAAACGTGCAGAGTGGCTTTTTTTACGCCGCTATTACCATCTTGAATGGCGGAACATCCTGTACCAGCGAAAACATAGTTTTGCTTTCACCAAGCCATTGAAAGATGTTTACTTTTCTAAGCGTAAATATCACATCCTTCTTGTTTTATCTCGCCTTTATATTTTTACTTTTTTTTTTACATTGAAGTGGTGCGCTTTTTTTTCATCGCCCATACACTACACCTGATCCACGTGGCTGGGGACGAAAACAGACAAAAAAGGCGTACGAACCAGCAAACTTTGCAATGATCAATACGCCGTTCCAATGTTTACAGGTCCACATCACTGCAGCACACTCTTTAGTTTCCGTGAAATTTCTTTTCATGAGCTGTCTATAAAAGAGACAGACTGAACTTAATAAGGTCGCCTTAGTAAACATTGAAAAAAACAAAAGTGTTTGAGTAAAAAAAAACACCTCGAAAAAAATGGAGAATTAAAAGAAGCACACAAAAACAGCGTTGCGTTTGTATTAGAGGCGACAGTTCGGACCAGTTTTTTTAGATATCCGGTTATCCGATTATTCGTACTAGCGAACTCTTCGAATTCGAAAATCGAATAACCGGATATTCGAATAACCGGCAAAATTACTCGGCTATTCGGCTATATAGATATCCGGATACTCGAATACTATATCGAATACATTATACCACGTACCGGAATCGAGATTGTTCGGCCGAAATAAATGCCTTTCGACCCGCGGTTTTACTAACGTCGCCTGCACGCTTTTGGAAATTAATGCGGATCTTCAGAGGTAATACATTCATCCATCCAACCATCCCACCCCTAACGGCTAATTTGAGAATTACTCCCACCGGGACAGCACAAAGTATTCGGTGGCGTTTCCAATGCGACGCTGAACGCCTCGTGAGCGTTGGACGAACACCGACGCGGCACTCGCTTGAAATCTATGCCCCCCGGCAGACGCGTACCAGACGGGGTTGTTAAGGTGTAAGAACAACCCCCGAAATTTTACTAATATGGCTTACAAACGGGCACCATATTAAAATTCCACTCTGGCCAGGTCTGGGCCATCGAAAATGACCCAAAACAGCTATATTCCATTGCGGGCTATGAAACACGGGGCGTGGGGAATCCAGTGCATCTCATTATCGCCGCTAAACCAATGGGATTGCGGCATTAGCCGATGAGAGAGCCGACGAACCAATCAGAGCGCAAGAAACGTGAACGCGTATAAACCGTGCCTTGCGCATGTTCCACGGTGGAAGGCAGCAGGCGCCATATTAGACTGCGACGTGGCCAGATTGTTTTTTTTTGTTTTTTTTTCTCCTCGACTTCAGTTTGAAAGGCATCGAGAGCGAAGGCAACATTGGTGCGCCGAAAATTTAACATGAGAGTGTCTAGATCACCGCGTGGGGACGTAGCCGAGCCGGAGGAGGAACTGCTCCATACAGGCACTACGTCACAGTGCCTGCTACCTCCTTATGTTGTCCGGGTGGGGAGTAGTTCTTAACTTAGCCACTAGGGGCGCGATGGTTGCATGGATGAATGTATGACCTCTAAGGATCCACTTTAATTTTCAAAACGCGCAGGCAACGTAGGGGAAAACCGCCGGCCGAAAGGCATGTATTTCAGCCGAACAATCTCGATTCCGATACGCGGTTCAATGAATACGAAATATTCGAGCATCCGGATATTTCGTGAACTGAATAACCGAGTAACGTATCAGCTTTTCAAATATCCGCCTATCCGGTTTTTGAATTCGAATAATTCGCTAATAGGAATAATCGAATGACCGGTTATATAGAAAACTAATCTGAACTACTGCCCCTAATACAAATACAGCGCTCTGTTTGCGAGCTCCTTTTATTTTTACTATTTTTCTCTCGCAGTTTTTTTGTTCGTTTTGATTTTTACTTCATTTTTATGTTATCTTTATGTTTACTAAGGCGACCTATTAAGTTCAGTGCGTCCTTTTTGTGAACAGCTCATGAAAAGAAACCCCAAGGAAGCTGAAAAGTGCGCTCTGGACCTGTAAAGACCTGTAAAGGCTCTGGACCTGTAAAGATTGGAACGGCGTATTGATCATTCAAAAGTTCGCTGATGCCAATGAATTTTTTGTTTGCTTTCGTCCCCTGCCACGTGGGTCAGGTGTGGGGCATGGGTGAGGAAAAAAGAGCGCAGCACTTCAATAAAAAAAAAGTAAATATTTATAGGCCAGATCAAACAAGCAAAAAGTGATATTTACCGCTTAGAAACGTAAACTTCCAATGGCTCGGTGAGAGCAAAAAGATGTTTTCACAGATACAGATACATTCAAGATGGGAATAGCGGCGTAGAAAAGGCCACCCAGCACCGTTTCATGCAAAAAAATATAAAATAATAATCTGGCGCAAATACGCGAATGCTAAATGTAAAATGTTTTTGTTCGTTTTTTTAGTGACGTACTTTAGTAAACGTACTTTAAAAGTATTTTTTTCTTTTTTACGGTTCGCGAAATTTATGCTTGGCGTGGAGATGGACTGGACGAAACAGGTCAAAATTTCCTAAGCTAAAACTGACTCTTTTTTTTCTCTCTTTACTTCAGCTTCATTCAGTGTGAACTTATCCTCCCGTCAATTAAATTTCTAATAAGACTTGCCTCGTGCTTCTTTATAGCATCAAGAGAAAAAGTTTTACTCTCTATTATTCTTTGAGATATTCCACCACAGGTGCACGGTTTGGAAACGAATAGGCGATATGGGGCCGGAGCCCCCCCCCCCCCCCCCCCCCAGCCATCAAAAAACTGTAGCGCACATAAAAAATATAGTTTTTTCTAGGGCTGGGCGTCGATTAAAAATTTTAACCCGATAAATCGCCACCCTTTAATCGATTAATCAGTTGCGCTGATTTTCATAAATAATATATTAAAAAGAATGCAACAACTCGTCTTGCCTTTGAAGACTTATTTTACTCTCTGTTACACGGCGCAAAGGACATTTAGAATTGAGGATACATGTAGTGCAACAAAGGCTCCCATATTTTTGCTCCAGCTCCGAAGACAAAGCAGTTTGTCCACACTCTCCGACAGGAAGACAAAAAGTCGGGGCTTGGGCGATGCTTTCTTCTTTTTTCAGAGAAAGGGGCCTCGATTGTTGTCGTTGATTGTTGTCTGCGTTTTGGCGGATGGCCCTTGCTGCAGCGGCGTACATGGGTGCTTCGCTCGTAGGTGATACTGAAGCGAACGTACGCTTCCACTGTATGAAAACGGCTTTTTGCAGATGATGCAGTGACTTCCTTCGAGTTTAAAAACTTCACCGCTGGAGTTTACATTTAACCCCAACTTTCCAGCGAGATTGCCTTTCATACCCGTGAACTCGTCCATTTGTACGGGCCGAATACTGGAACAAATAACCATGGAGTTGTTAGCTTCCCAGCTTGTTTTTCTGCTTGTTTGTCTTTCGCGGTCGTAAAGGGATCAATTGCGGGCCCGGCTTGTTCGTCTGGCCTCGGTAGAACTGCAATGTGTATCCTCGAACACATGACGCTTCGCGAGCGCGAGAATTGAACCTTGCTCATACTCCTAGCACCTGGCTGAGAACAGAAAACCGCTCAGGACAGAACGACCGGATGCACGCCACGCAGCGTTTTCCTTAAAGGCCGCCGACCAGACTCGAGATTCTGCAAGGCAGAAGATCCTTTTCACCATGGGGGAGGAGGAAACAGGCAACGGTGGACAGGGTAGAAGGGAGGAGAGGAGGAAGGGAGAGAAAAGTGGAAAGTGCGAACTGGTCGTCGGTCTTTAAGGGGAGGGGGGCATGAGTCACCCTTAGTTCGGGCAGGTCGTCCAGGACAGAGCCATGCGTGCGTCCAGTTGACTTCTTTTTGAGTACCGATTAAAAAAAAAACGATTAACTGGTTTAAAAAAATGATCGCGAATAAAGCTTTAATCGATTAATCGGAAGGTTAATCGATCAATTGCCCAGCCCTAAGTTTTTTCTTTACCGCCGGTTTCTTTAAATCTCAAAAAGAGCACGCTACTAATTTTATAGTCTAGACCTAATATAAATAAAATAAAATAACGAACAACACTTTACATCATTTTTCTCATCTCGGGATTTAGAACATAGTTAACAAGGATCGTTGTCAGGCTAAGTAGAGAATGATGGCTGCTGAAACGTGCCTTCGCAAAATAAAGATGAACGCAAAGAAAGGGACATGGACAAGCGCTGTTTTTTCAATCAGCTTCCATACATACTTCCTAGTTTACCAACCAATTTCCGCGGATTAGAAGGTTGGTTTGTAACGTTTACAAAGTTTATTCAGCACAACCAGACTTCCGGCATGCCTGCCTTCGAGCTTGAAATGTGACGTCACAGCTTTCCAAAGCGCGCCACCGGCAGCCATTGGTCGGTTCAACGGCGCAAGCGCGAATCGATCGCCGCTGGGTCCCGTTTTCGCGCTCGGGATTCCTAACGCTCAGTTGCGATCAAGGATATACTCGCAGCGGCTCAAACTTTTCCCAAAGTTCTCAAGAAGGCTCCTGCATTTGACGGCGTCAGCCCTTTTTTATAATTTTTGTTTCTGATAAAGTACTTTTGATGTCAGTTTTAGCTTTGAGTGTGTATCAACTAGGATAGCAGAAGTTAGAGATCTAGATTTGCTTTGACAACTTCAAAATACGTGACAGTTAGACAAGGATGTTTACTAGCCGTCAGATGCCCGAACTCTAGATAGGAGCGAGCATGGATATGAGAAGCAGTTTCAACGATCGGATGACCGGGTGGGATTTGTGTCTCTGAACGCGAGTCTTGCTGACGGACAGCTGACCATTCTGTTGTCTATCAAGTAGTTTCTGAAACCTGCCATCGGGTTCTTTAGGAGGAAAGATGGATTCCGTGCAGCTCCCCAGCTTACAAAACGGATCTCTGGAAGACCCGTCCCTGGACGAGGAGCTAACCTTCAACACGCAGTCCCTCGTCCAAGTCATCGTCTACTCAGTGCTCTTCGTCGCAGCGGCAGCCGGCAACGTCTCCGTGTTCGTCAGCCTCTTGGGCAAGAGACACCGAAAGTCCGGCATCAAGTTGATGATTCTGCACCTGGCCGTGGCCGACCTCATCGTTACCTTCGTCATGATACCCATGGAGATCGGCTGGAGGCTCACGGTCCAGTGGACGGCTGGGAACGCCATGTGCAAGGTGATGCAGGTGCTCCGGGCCTTTGGACCCTATCTGTCTTCGATGGTGCTCGTCTGCATCAGCGTAGATAGGTACTTTGCGGTGCTGCATCCGCTCAAAGTCCACGCTGCCCAGCAGAGGGGCAAGAAGATGTTAGCTGTCGCCTGGTGCACCAGCTTGGCCTGCAGCACGCCGCAGGTGAGGATTAGTCTGTTCTCTTTCGGTACCGGCTAAATACGGTATAGAACATCTGAATTCCGATTGAAATATCATCCAAAATCTTGGAGGTCACTGTCAGGGTGAGATCCCCGGAGCGGAGGTTCGCATCAGCGTCGCTGCCCGCGCGTCCCTCAGGGTCTTACAATGACATAAACGCTACCACGCGGCGACGCTGCAGGACAGACGTGTCTGCCACTTTGCGGCGTCGCTCGTTCGAGCTTCAGCGTTTTTGCCGCTCGGGTGCGGGCCTGGGATCCACTAACGACGGCGTCATGCACAGGCCTTGCGACTTCTCGGTGGTATTGCTCCGGCATGCGCTCGTCGCCTTCCTTCGCGCGTTGATTGCGCATGCACGCTCGAAGCCCACGAGACGCCCAAGTGGTATTGAAGGCCGGAAGCTCGGGCTGGAGGCGTGACCAATGAAAGATGTTTGCGCCGATCTCATCATGTCAGTGACCGTGGTCATTCGATATTGCAAATCTATTTAATAATTAAATTTATTTCCATGTTGAATGGCGAGCAGAGGGTAAAAGCCTCGATAGAGGTTTGACTAACCCTTAGCATCATGCACTGGCTTAGCAGCGAAAAGACAAAGAATAGTGTTACTCTGTAACAATATCAAAACACGTACACTGTTATTTCAAACAAGAAACCAGAAAAAAAAAACGGGACGAATACGCCTCATCTAGCGGACGGCACTGGCATACACAGAGCGTACACAAAAAGTTGAAAAGGAGTAGCCGAAGCCGCTAGTACAGAAAAAAGCGAACGCAGGGCCTCGTAGGAGATAGTGTCTATGCAAAATTCTTTCAATATAAGACATATTAACAGTTTAGGTATAGTATAATGTAGCATTTGAGTACCATGTTCTGTACGACAAGGTATAATCATCCAATAAGCCATGTGTGTAGTCTGCAAAGTTTGAAAGGGATTTATAGTGTTTTCTTATTTCGAGTATTAAACTAAGGCACAATCTGTATTCGTAGAGGTTATGCATTGGTTGCACTCTAAATTTCTCAAACAGACTGTCTGTATAAAAATCATACCCAGGACATTGGATATTATACTTATCAATTTCCTCTGCAACCAGAATAATTTTTGCAAGTTCGTAAACGTTGTTTTATTCCAGACGATGTTGCAGTAATTGAGGTGAGAAAAAACAAATATTTGTAAATTAGTAGCTTCACACTGACTGGGAGTCTTTTACCGTTACGAAATGTCACTCCTATAGCACTTAACAATTTTATAAGCATGTTTTTCCGAACTTGCTTGTTCGGAAGAAACTACTCCAAGGCTCTTAAAATTACTAACGATTTCAATTGGGGTAGAGCCAAGAACGAAAATTTTTTGCTTAAAGTTACACACTTGTTTTTTGGCCAAAAAATAATAGTTTTAGTTTTATCAGTATGAATTTTTAAGACATTGTCTCTTGCCAACGTTCCTAGTTTGGTCATAAGACCGTTGGCAATTGTGACAGGATCATCACTATTTTCGACGAAAACAAAATAAGATACTCTCATCAGCATAGGTAAGAAAATTTTGCAGTGCCTATGTTTACAATATCATTTTTGTGTACATTTTAAAAAGATAGAGACCAAGAACACTCCCCTGAGGAACACCGGGGCGAATAGACTTGGCGTTAGAAAAATATTGGCCAATAGAAACATATTGGCTACGATATCGCAAGTATGGTTTTAGAACCTCTGAAGGTAACCCACGGATACCATGAAGTTCTAGTTTTTGAAGTAAAATGTTACGATTGATAAAATCAAAAGATTTTTGTGAAATCAACAAATGCACCTCCAAATCAACTTTTTTCCCTAATTTTTTTTTACGATGCATTATTTTTGTTTTAATAGTGCTAACTCAGTCGACCGGCATTTCCTAAAACCAAACTGTGCGGATGTCAGCAAGTTGTGTTTATCAGAAAACTGAATTAAACGAGCCAGTATAATTTTTTTCAAGCCTTTGCAGAATAACGGGACTATAAAGTGGAGTCGATAGTTCCTGAGGATATCTTGATCTCCTCTGTTGCGCAAAATGATCACTGTCGCTTCCTGAAACTTTTCAGGAAACACGCCTGTTAAAGAGAGATTCAAGTCAAGTCAAAAATGTACTTAATTGGTCAAATTTGCAAATAACCACAGTCACAACTGCTACTGTTTCTCATTTGCATGAAAATAAAACAAATACCTCAAAGTTTGTGACAGTTGAAAAAAAAACCACGTGGTGAATGATGTTGATTGGGGCGAAGCTCTGGTGGTGCTTGTCTGCGTAGACGCTGAGCCGCAGCATGCCGAGCCTTTCGTTCGTTTGCATCCATGTCACGCTGCGGTCAAATGCTCAAATGCGTATATAACCACCTTCCATACCACACATTTTCTTTCTGAAATGGATGAAAACGAACGAAGGCTCGGCATGCTGCGGCTCGCCGTCTACGCAAACAAGGACCACCAGAGCTTCGCCCCAATCAACATCATTCACCACGTGAAAATGCGATAGGTTTTTTTTTTTTTTTTCACGTGCTTCCGTGCTCGTGAGCACAAGCACCCGACGCCGGACATCGGACGGACATACGGACATGGCTAGCCCCTAACACGGTGGCCCCTAAAGAGCTTCGTCCTTAAAAAAAAATTAATGACTATTTCTATATTCCAAGTAATCGCAAAACACGGCATGGGCCCGGCCTCCTCCCCCCCCCCCCCCCCCCCCCTCTTTCCGGGATCTTTCTTTTTGCTGGGGCCTCGTCTCCCCCTCCCCCATGATACAGCATTTTGTCATCGGCGCCGCCTCCCCACCCCGCCCCCCAAATCAAAATCCTGGCTACGTGCCTGCACCCAGCCATCGACACTCCCTCGTGATCAATGCGTTCTGCTGCCGAGTTTAACCGGCATTTTAAGACAAATCTTAAGTTTCTCCAGGTAACGTCCGGTCGTCTGGATTGCGCCTAAGAAAAATTGGTATGATCCAACTGCCTTAGATTTTTGCAGCAATTTTGTTCATTGATTTCGATATACTTTAAAATTTAAGAGCTTGTCTTAAAAAAAATTCCGCTATATTCTTTTTTTGGAGCAGTTTAGGCGTTATCCATGGCATGTCCAAAGCACCTGGTAAATAGCAGTATTCGCGACGACAAGTTTGGTTATCGTCGCCTGGTGGAGTTTTTTCACAACTCAGAGTGAGGATACTCGAACTTCCTCTGCTGGTGCAAAGACGTGCAATGCCAAGCTTCTAAGCATTATAAAAATTAAAACATGACCGCGTGGGTAGCACGGTCCCTGCCCTTTGTATGAAAAGCAGAAGCGTCCCCAGCAAGCTGCTCACCGCGAATAAGCGAGAAAAAAAAATTCAATCGATGACTGGGGCCATCACTTGCGCATCCAAGGTGCACGCCAAAGCATTGTTGGGTTCCATCTTCGCCATGACCCGTTCCCACTTGAATGAGGATCGTGGCGAAGCTGTGTTTTTTTTCAGTGTTGGATAAAATACTCGATAAAAGTATTTAAGTTAAGTTACTAAATACCTGCGTCATAAAGTATCTAAAATACTACTTAAGTTACTTTCACTGTAAAGTATCTTGAGTAGAGTACAAGTACTTAGATATGTAATTCAATTACTTTTGAAGATACTTCCGCATAGCGTAATATGTATCGACGTCAGTAACAACGACAATTGTACAGCTGCGCAAATGTGGTTTACCACAATGGTTTATTAGCGCGCAACAACATAAAACGAAAAAAAAAAGTATAGTAGAGCAATTTTATGCAGTCCAACTATAAGGACCAGGATACTGTCACGAATGACATATGATGAGGCGGCGAATAACTGAAGTAACTAAACGTTTAATAGGGCGAGCTTGTGCCCACAACAATAGAGAAAGGCTAGCGTTGCAGGCTTAGATGTCGGCGAAACAGCAGGATCGAGCCCTGGGGCAAGACTGATCGGAGCACTTTTTGTACCCGCGTGGGTTTCTGGAACATCCGGCGTAGAACGTTCGGCGCGTAGAACAATCGCAATTCGATCGATGGACAAGGTTCTCGAATTTACGAGAATGTCAAGTTGAAAGAATAAATAAGAGTCCGCTCCCTGGAATCGAAACCGGAGCCTCCGTGCGAGAGCGAAGCGTGGTAACCATTCGGCCGCGCGCTTTTTTTTTTTCATTTTTAAATTTTTTTTTTCGGGCAGTTCGCTAAGCACCCGGATAGCTCTCCGTAATTCGCCACAAGACCATGAAGTATGCAGACAAGGCTGGCTGCGCGCATGCGCAGCTGCGGCGTTTTCTTCACGGATACCGTAGCGGAGGAGAAAAAGTGAAAGCCGTTTACAACTCCCTGTAACACCGAATTAGAGCGCAGCTCTTGAGGAGGAGGAGGAGGGAAGGGTACTGGGGGGTCACGTGACCTTGGGGAGTCACGTGACCATGCCGATGATGTCATCAGTGACGTCACTGATGACGTCATCAGTGACGATGCGGACTCCGATGACGTCATCAGCGATGATGACGATGACGATGCGGATGTCGGTGACGTCATCAGTGACGTCACTGATGACGTCATCTGTGACGATGACGATGCGGATGCCCCTCGAAGTCACGTGACACCCCCAGGTCACGTGACCTGGGGGTGTCACGTGACTTCGGGGGGGTCACGTGACCTCAAGGGGGGGGGTCACGTGACTTTGGGTGTCACGTGACCTTGGGGGTCACGTGACCTTGGGATGACCTTGGGGGCCACGTGACCTTGGGATGACCTTGGTGACGCCGACGCCGCTCAAGCCGGGAACGGGCCCCTAAGAGCTGCGCTCTAAAACGGTCAACTACAATCGCCTAATATCACTGATACAAGTTGAAAAACATTTCTGGTACAACAAGGAAGAGGTCACTTTAGCTACTGGAAAGGAGATCGGACCGTGGCGCCCCAAGTGGTTAACTTTAAAACTACACAGATGGGGACAACGAATACAATGACTCAGCACTCGGC